AAAATAATAAAAAAATATGTTTAGCAAAATTTTACTTGCATGTGATATTAATGATGTTGTTCAGTGATTTCTGCCTTCTGTTGGGTCACCTCTCTTTGGAATGGGCACATTCCAATCTGTTGTCCAGGTAGCTGTCCTACCAATTTCTTGGCATAGATGAATAAGCACCTCCAGGATGCATCAATTTGTTGAAAGATTTCAATTTATTATTCTGTCAATTTTGGAGACTTGTTTTTCACCAATGCCTTCAGTAAAGCTGGACTTCTCCCTTCAGTAGCAGTGGTTCTTGATCATATATGGTACCTCTTGAAATGGTTGGGCACTGACTCTGTGTAGTCCTTCCAACTTCTTTTGATGCTTTCTGCATCATCTAATATTTTGCTAATAGAATCCTTCTATATTTCAAGTCAAGGCTTGAATTTTTCTCCAGTTCTTTCAGCTTGAGAAATGCTGACTGAGCATGTTCTTCCCTTTAGGTTTTCCAATTCTAGGTTTTTGTGCATTTCATAATACTTGGCTTTTTCTTCTTGAGCTGCCATTTAAATTTTTTGTTCACCTCTTTTACCTCCTCATTTCTTCTGTTCACTTTATCTTCTCTACTTTCAAGAGCAAGATTCAGAGTCTCTATGGAGATGTAACTGTGGAGGACAGAGAAGTCCCTCTCCACATGTGTGTCAAGAAATGTGCCTCAGTTCTTCCTTGTGAATTGAGTCAGGCCATCTATCCCTGACTTCTTTGATGCCCAGTTATGTTCCTTAGGAGTAGCTGTGGGCCTTTTACAAAAGAAGCCTTTTATAATGACAGAAGTTGTTTAGAAAAGATGAGAAAGCTTAAAGAAAACAAAAATCAATTGTAACCTCACCTCCCAGAGATCATCTACTCTGACTTTTTTTTGTTTTTAGTTTTTATTGTGGATTGAGTAAAAGTTTACAGGGCAGATCATCAGTTTTACATTCAACAAATCATACAACTTGTTTCATTATAATGATTACAGTCCCCTCCATGTATCATCTATCGGTTAACAGTATTTCTCTCTATTCACTTTAGCTCTTTTTTAAAACACTCAGGCATATATAATAATTTACACCACCAAGGGCACATTCTGCAAGTCTGCCTCCTGGTTGCCAGCTTTTAGTCCCTCTCTTCCCATGAATCTAGAGTCCTCAGCCACTCTCCCTCTCCATGTCCCCATCTCTGTCTCTATCTCTGGTGTCACTGCTTCTCTGGGTAAGGTCTCGCATTCTGCTTGTGCTCTTCTCACTTGATGGTCCTAGGATCCTTTGTTTCTGGACTGTAAGATTAACTGCTCCCCCATTTTTGTTACAAAACTTCTACCTTTACAATTGTGGCAGTCGCAATTCGTCATGATAACAATTACTCACTATTGAATCATAAGAATCTTATCCCCATCTCTTTTAACCAGATCCATCTGGACAAGATGAACTCTTCCTTTCCCTGCACACTCTTAAACTAAACTTCCTCTTGAAACCTTGTAAGCCAGTCACTTTGTGCCTGTATCGCCCCCTCATTTTAGGTAGCCAATGTCTTACTCTGACTTATTTTTAAATAGAGATGCTACATCTCAGTTTTTGTTGGGTTTTTTTGTTATTAGTGTGGCTCTTCATGCTTTGCATTCCTTCTGACTGGCCTTTAATTAGTTTAGTGAGTCACTGGGTGGTGCAGATGGTCAAGTGCTGGACTACTAGCTGTAAAATGGTCAGTTCATACCCATTCAGAGGCACATAAGGAGTAAGGCTAGGCTTGTGTTGCCATGAGTTGGAAATTACTAAAAGGTGGCAATTCACAACAACAATAACAATTTTATATCTCAGGACATACGATATAAGGACTACTCAGCAATCAGTTGTGACAACTTGCTAGCCATTTCTAAATGACCGACTGAATAAAGGTATAAACAAACAAATTTGGGGAAACAATGTGTCCTTTTTGGTGTGTAGCCGCAGTTCTTGAAAGCCTAGATTATAACAGTTGCCATTGAATATATTCCTTCTCACCACCTTCAGCAAGTAGCTATCAACACTGACTCATAGGAACTCCTTGTGTGTCAGAATAGAACTGTGTTCCATATTCAGTGGCTGATTTTTCAGAAATAGATTACCTGGTCTTTCTTCCAAGGCACTTCTGGGTGGACTCAAACCTCCAACCTTTCAGTTAGCAACTGAGTACTTAACCATTTACACAAAACTTACTTACCTTACAGACTACCATTAGAAGTCAGATTCTGATTTAATTAGTCTGGGTTGGGCCCTAGGTATGAATACTTATTGAAAGCTCTGTAGCGGATTGTAAGGGGCAGGCAGGGTTAAGAACTAAGAAGACTAAAAGGTAAACAGTCCTAAAGAGGACCAAACACAAGGGGCCATATTGCTAGAAAAAGGAGAAATGTTAATGGGTGTGTTGACTTGTAAGGAGCCCTAGTAGTGCTGTGGGTTAACTGTTGGGCTCTTAATTGTAAGGCCAGTGGTTCAAACCCACCAACTGCTCCATGGGAGAAAGATGAGACTGTCTGCTTCTCTAAAGAGCAAGTCTCCTCTGTCCTATAAGGTCTCTGTGACTCGGCATTGATCAGGACATCAGTGGTTTGGATTTGGGGTTTCTCTGCTGGAGCTACATGCCTACTGCCCCCTCCTTTACAGGTGGCAGCGTCTCCTTCCTGAATGGCTATATGCCTCAGTACTTTTTGAGGTCAGAAGTGCTTCATTGCTATGTGTTGTCGAATTGGTTTTGACTCATAGCGACACTATACAGGGTTTCTGAGAGGGACTGGTGGGTTCAAACTGCCGACATTGCACTTACCAGTCAGTCCAATATCAGGCCTCAGAAACACTTTAAGGGTAAAATAATGTGAAATAAGAACTTCTGTGATAAAATTTTGAAAGTCCAGTAAAAGAGGTGATAACACTCCAAGCATTGTTCGTTTCTCCTACCAGTGAAGAAAAACATGATGTAATTCAAGCACTTTTTAAAAAATAACTCTTTAATTTCATTTTATAAATGATAGCAGAGAACTCTGTTTTTCCACTTCAGTGTTAATTTTTTTTATTTCATGGCCAGTGTGAAACAATCTGGCTTTAAAATAACTGGGAACACAATCAGAATTCGCTTGAAATTAATTAGAAATCTTAAGCCTTCTAAATGTATATCATACAAACTAAGTACTCTTAATTGTTTTAACCTGTGTTTGAGATGCATGCCTGCCTCCTGGAAAGCTGGAAAACCCCCGTGCCGTGGCTTTTGTATCAACTGCTGCTCCAGGAACACAAGTTTATCAGCGTTTTCCTCACAGTAAAACTTGTCTTCAGGGATCATTTCTTCCTCTTGATTGTTAAAAGATTTATCGGATACAATTAGAAAGAAACAACTGATCATAAACATTCTCCATTTTCCGTTTCCCAAATTGTGCATGAAGACTAGTGTTGGCTTGTAAACCATTTGTTGTTGTGTGGTGTTGAGTTAATTCTGATTCATAGTGATTGCATAGGTTAGTGTAGACTTGTCCCTTGGGTTTCTGAAGCAAGAATCATTATGGGATCAGATCCCTAGGGTTAGTCTCTTGCAGAGTGACTAGTGGGTTCAAACCACCAACCTTTCAGTTAGCAGCTGAGTGCTTCACCATGTAGCCACCAGGGCTCCTTAAGCCTGTCGTTACTAGCCCACAATTAAAAACACGTGTAGCAAATTGGCATTGGCTTCACATATTATTGTGGTTTACAAAAGTGTTCACCTGCAGTGGATTGGGAAAACAACCCAAATGGCCCTTCCCCACACATAGGCCAAGAAGCACTATTCTACTTGAAGAAGAAGCAATTTCTGGAAATCATCTCTTTTTACATGTATTTTTTTCTTTCTCAGGGATTTTGTATTGGAAGACATGGATCTTGCTGCCAACGAGCTCAGCATTTATGACAAACTTTCAGAGACTGTTGATTTGGTGAGACAAACAGGCCATCAATGTGGCATGTCAGAGAAAGCAATTGAAAAATTTATCAGGCAATTACTGGAAAAGAATGAACCTCAAAGGGGAGCACCCCAATATCCTCTCCTTACAGCTGTGTATAAGGTAAAAATGTGTTCTGACTTGGAAATAGCATAGACAGAAAACAAAAACTCTTTAACATTCTTCCCAAATATTATCACTGACTGATTCCACCATTGAACTTTGTTGTGGGTTTTTTTTCCTGTGAGTAAATTGGCCTTTGCTCTTGTTATCATGTGTTTATAGGAAATTTGACAACTTGGTTAAATGTCTTTAGATGAAAGCTGTGTACTGCTCAGATGTATTTGCATGTATTTTTTAATGGGAAAGCTGATAATTAAGTTGTATTTATGTGTGTGTTTTTAATGGGGGTTATTATATCATCCAATTGTGTGATAGAAAGAAGCTTGGTGATCCTTGAAGTCCTTATAGTTCTCAAACATTAGATGCTTACAGATGTGAATGTGAATGAATTATGAAAATGAGTTAGTTCTTAAGGCACATTAAAAGTAGCAAGAAAGGCCTAATTTTGTTGTTTTTTTTTTTGGTATTATGGTGCTTGTTTGTTGAAACAGTTATTAACCTTCTTCTTCTTTTTCCTTGTAGATCTTTATGACCCTGGGATTAATCTTGCTCACTGCCTACTTTGTGATTCAACCTTTCAGCTCATTACCACCTGAACCAGTACTTTCAGGAGCTTATACCTGGCGCTCACTCATCCATCACATCCGGTTGATGTCCTTGCCTATTACCAAGAAGTATATGCCAGAAAATAAGGAAGTCTCTCCACATAGGGGTGATGAAGACACCTTTCCAGGTAGAATGCTGGATTTACTACTTACAAAATATAATTTTCTTCACAGTGGATGATGGGAAAGGAAACAACGTTTATTGGGATCTAATGGGAGGCATCGTCCCAGGATTGTCTCGTTAAATTAAATCTTTACTAAAACTCTGTGGGATGGGTACTCTTATCCCCATATTGCAGATTGAGAAACTATATCTCAAAGAGATTAAGAAATATGTCAGAGATAGACATCTGATAGAGCCAAAACTAAAACCTCCTGATTCTGAAACATATATAGTGGGCATAAGAATGTTTGCCTGTAGGGAAGATTCAACTCTGTTTCAGTTTACCATTTTTCTTCTGCTATTTTTATCCATACTTGTTGTTGTTGTTGTTATGTGCCGTGAAGTCGGTTCCGACTCATAGCGACCCTGTACAGGGTTTCCAAGGCTGTAAATCTTTACGGGAGCAGAAAGCCTCATCTTTCTCCCACGGAACAGCTGGTAGTTTCAAACTGCTGACCGTGAGGTTCGCAGCCCAATTCGTAACCACTACGCTATCAGAGCTCCTTATACTAGATATTTATAAATCACTATTGATTGCTTGATTGAAAGCATCTGAATTCAGCCTGTTTTTAACCAGGTCTTCTTTCAGTACTTAGCCTGTTGGTCTAAGTTTATGTAGAACAATATTCCAAGCCTCCAGTTTGGTCTTTTCTCTAAATATGGTGTTGTTGTCAACTGTCGTTAAGTTGGTTTGGACTCATAGCAACCCTGTATAGGGTTTCCAAGGAGTGACTGGTTTGTTTGAACCACTGACCTTGCGGTTAGCAGTCCAGTGCTTATCCTACAGCGCTACTCTAGAACTTCCTGTATATCATACTTCACTTAATTTAGTGCTCATAAGTGTATTAACTTTGCCAGTGGGTTGAATTTAAGAAGCAGGTTTATAGTAAGGCCATCAGTGCCATCATTTGGTTGGTTGGTTATATGCTTGTGGAGTTGGTTCTGACTCATAACAACCCTGTATAGGGTTACCAAGGCTCTAAATCTTTATGGGAGCAGAAAGCCTCATCTTTCTCCCACTGAGCGACTGGTAGTTTAGAACTGCTGACCTTGAAGTTAGCAGCCCAACTCGTAATCACTATGCTACCAGAGCTCCTTAGTGCCATCATGTTGTTGTTGTTAAGTGCTGTTGAGTCAGGTTCTGATCCATAGCAACCCTGTTTAGGGTTTCCAAGGTGCAGCTGGTGAACTTGAACCACAGACCTCCTGGTTCAAGTGGACTTTGCATTAACCAACAGCACCACACCAGGAGTGCCATTGTAGGAGTGCTTAATCTGACAAACCATGTGAGGGTTGTTCTTGACAGTAGTGTAATATATGATAAAACTAGTCAGCCCTCATCTCATGGTAACCACATACAACAGAACAAAATGTTATCCAATTCTGTGTCACCCCTAGGTGACACATTTGCCAATCTGATATTTGTTATCCGTAGGCTTTCAGTGGCTGAGTTCCAGAAACAGAGTGCCAGGTCTTCCTAAGAGAAAGAATAACCCTAACCAAGCCTATTTCTATTGAGTCCATTCTGACTCAGACCAGCACGTAGGACCGACTAGAACTGTCCCATAGAGTTTCTAACACTGGGAATGTTCTGAAGCAGGCTTCCCCATTTCTCTCTTATGGAGCAGCTAGTGATTTCAAACTGCTAACATTTTAGTTAGCAGCCAAGCATTTAACTACATAAGAATGGATGTTGTGGTTCTTTCTTTGGTGGTGGCAGCAGCATTTATCTTTATATAAAAGAATATGGAAGTTAATATCACAAATGGATTATAGAATTTTTTTCTGTAACTGTATTCTGAAACCCTTAGTATCCATCATAACTGTTTAGGAAATAGGTTTTCTCCTCATTGTTGTTTGAGGAAAAAAAATTGGCTAGTTGAAGCTCAGGTTTATAATCATAATGTCATTCTTTTAAGCCAAGACCTAATCAATCATAAAAATCAGCACTTGGATTAAGTTATCTCTTTTGAAAGTTTTTTTTTGTACACTTGAGGAAGTCATTGAAAGATTACCAAAATTATATTAAAATAAGAGGAAGGTAACATTGTAAAACATTCTAAAACAAAACGTCTTTAAGTTTTTGAATGTTCTAAAATCCACAGTTCATCTAGTTAGAGATTTTTATCCCAGATAAATCTTCCTTGTATTTGTTGAGAAGGTTGTTTTTGAAATGTCACCAGCAGAGCTCAAAAAATGAACTCTCCCTCTCTCTCAGAAAGGTCCAGAGCATTTGGGGCTGGAGCCAGAGAACTTCAGCTCCTTTCCCGCTTCCTGTCTTTTCTCAGCCTCCATGTACATGGGAAAAATTAAACCGTTTTCTTCTTTTTAGGCAGGGCTTGGAAGCTGTGTATTTCGTTCGACTCCTGGTTGAGAATTTGTCTTTCTTCCTCAAATATACTGAATCTGAATCTACAGTTTTAACAGGATCGCCTGGTGATTCTGGTGACACAGTGGTCAAGTGCTGGACTGCTAACTGAATGAATGGTCAGCTGTTCTGATGGAGGATGACAGTCTGCTTCTGTACTGATTTACAGCCTTGGAAACCCTGTGGGACAGTTCTTCTCTGTCCTTTGGGATTGCTAGAGGGTCAAAGTGGTTACGAATCAGGCTGCGAACCTTAAGGTCAGCGGTTCGAAACTACCAACCGCTCCGCGGGAGAAAGATGAGGCTTTCTACTCCCGTAAAGATTTACACCCTCGGAAACTCTGTACAGGGTCGCTATGGGTCAGAACTGACTCGACGGCACTTAACAACAACAACAACAATCTTAACAGAAGCAGATTGCCATATCTTTCATGAAGTAGCTGGTGAGTTCAAACCACCAACCTAATCAGTCAACAGCTGATTGCCCCCGGTGGTTCTTATGTTTGTATAGTTAAAATGGGGTTTCTGATTCAGTCTGCCTGGGGTGGAAAGGCAGATTTTTGGCAGGAGGGTTGAACCTGAATGAACCGGTCAGAAGCCCTGCTTTGGGGACCAGGTTAATGACATTTGCTTTCTTCTCAGCCTACAAAATACATCACTATAGACTATTGAGTTAAAAAATGAAGGACTGCCAGTGCATAATGCTTACTCATTGTCTAAATCAAGAGTTTAAAATTCAAGAAGCATAAGTGTCTTGTCAACAGGCCAGATTACTTGGTTCACTCCATATTAATATTTTGCCTTACAGATGAAAATAAAATGAGTCCCTGGAGATTATTCCTAGGGAAAGAACATTGGAGGTGTGTGGTTTTAGCTTTTAATGTTGTAAATTTAATTAAAGTGCTGTTTTCACTTTTAAATATGGATATTGATGTACCATGTTTTCCTAGGTGTGCTAATTCTAGGAAGTTAGAGACATGTAAAATTAAGATAGCCTTTTGCACGGCATTTAAAAGAAAATTTAAGAACACATCAACAATTTAAGAACACATCAACATTTAAGGGGTAAATAGAAACACTTTGGGGAGAATTGAATGCAAGAAAGTTCAAACAGCTGGGTTTGTGAGAGGGTGGGAAAAGTAAAAAAATAAAAATATTTTTAATGGCCTGGGACTAAAAACAACTGTCTTCGAGTTAGAATTACGTCGGAGCAGTGCTGCTCAGGCATCCGGGGTTGCTGAGTCAGAATCAGCTAAATGGCATGAGACAGCAGCAGCAGCAGTGCCTTTATATGTAGGGGAGAATGGTGTGGCAGATTTAGGGCCCCAAAGAAAACCCCATGAGCCTATTGTTTCCTTAAGGACTGGCCTGTCCACAACTCCCAGGGCCACCTGGTGCTCTTTGCAGTGGGACCTTGGCAGTGACCGAGGGAACTGGAGCTGTAACACAGTGACAGAGGTAACACAACCTCCTGATCCTACCAAGAGGACAGAAGTGCGTCCCTTTTCTAGGTTCCAGTCTTGGGTGGTGTCTTAGAGATCTGGTGCTGTTACAGTAGAAATCCCACAAGTGGGTGGCTTTAACAAACATTTATTTTCTCAGTCTAGAAGTCTGGATTCAGGGTGCCAACTTTCTCTCTCTGTGCACTTTGGCGGGGAAGTATTTGTTCCTTGGCTCCTTGGTGATCTTCCTGTGGCTTGGCATCCGTCTTTTTGCTCACTTTGATGTTTGCTCAATCTGTTTTTTTTGTGTGTTTTGTTTTAATATCTCAAAAGAGATTGATTTAAGACACACCCTACACTGATTGTAATTAACATAACACAGACAACCCATTCCCAAATGAGATTCTAGCCACAAGTATACGGAACCCAAGCCCATTTCCCTCCAGTGCATTCGGGTTAGATTTACAACATGTTTGAGGAATATAATTCAATCCATGACAGGTAGGAAACTCTGTCCCTAAATATTGCTGGTGAGGAGATTGAGGTGACTCGGAGTGAACCATGTAAACAGCCTGCTTTGCAGCAGAAAATAAATAGACTGACACCTTTTTAGGACTTACCAGTGCAGAAGTCCTGGTATGGCACTGGAGGATAAGCACTGGACTGCTAGCTGCTGGGTCAGCAGTTCAAACCCACCAGCTACTCCTTGGAAGCCGTACACAGGGTCGCTATGAGTGAGAACCAACTCGATGGTACTTACCAACAACTGTGCAGGCCCTGTTCAAAGTGCTTTCAGACATAGAGACACATTTTTATACAAGTGAGAGCTCCTGAAAATAGGGTGGAGTCTGTGGTTTGTTGTTGTTGTGTGCTGTCATGTTGGTTCTGAACCATAACAACACTGTGGAGGGTTTCTCAGGAGCAGCTGGTGAGCTTGAACCACTGACCTTGCAGATCAAACCAACTTTGCATCATGGTTCAATTGTAGTATTTCCTGACAGCAAGGCTATTGGTGAAATGGTCTCTGAGTCTTCTTTCATCCAGTGGATTCCACTTCACAGTGAGCCTATGGAACCGAGGGGACTGCTCCATAGGGTTTCTGAGGCTGTCAGTCCTCACAGAGGCAGGCGGCCTCGTCTTTTTCCAGCAGAGTAGC